TGGGCAATGATCAGGTTCAAGAATGCACGGAGGTCGTTCTTCCGGAAAGACTATGACCTCTGAGGTTCGTGTTTAGGGGGTTCCAAAGGTTTCGGTACCTGGTTGGTCAAAGACTATCCCCACATCCATCCTGAAGGTGCCTATCTATCTAGGTGGCCATAAAGGGAAGGGTCTGCGAATGGGAAGCCTGGGAGGAAACGGAGATTAGTACTGGAACTTTAGCACATGACCTTCACTTACTCTCAAGAAAACCTCTCACCCCCAATTCCCTCACCGTGATCTCCAGAAGCAAGTCTTGGAGGCGAACCCAGGTCTCATGAAATTCAAATAGGAAGTACTGGGTTGAGGAGAGGAGACATGTGAAATGAGAAGATTCTGTGTGAAGGGTTCACGCCAGCTTGCACCTGCCCTTTGCAAAGAGTTCCTCACAGCCCTTTATCCTGGTTTCCGAGGCTTTAAATATTCGCGGGGGCAGTAAACCTTTTCTCCTGTGGAGCGGCTGGCGGTTCAAACCGTGGACTTAGTGGTTCGTCATCCTGTGCTTATCCTATGGAGCCACCGCCTCCCTGCATCACGCTATTTGGCTCCTTTTTCCTTGATAAATCCAGCCTATCTATGTACGTCTTCTGTGAGACTCAGACCCGCTTCGCTACTTAGGCCCCGCCCTTCTGGGGGTGTTCCCTTCCTAGATCCCATCCATTCCCTTTCTTGATCCCCACCTCCTTCCTTGATCATTCCTGGCTGTTCCCAACTCGAACAGCCACATAGGGGTTAATGTTAACTCCCACAAGTTTCTGGGGCTCGAACACCGTGACCCCCACCTGCAGAGTACGGAAGAAGGAGGCAAGCAAACCTAGAGTGTCCACAGCTTCATAGTGGAGAGTAAGGTGTGTGAAGGGCAGGTCCTTGAATCTGAGAGTTAGGGCTTGGAGGAAGTCCTGAGCTCTGGACACCTGGAAGGGAACCCCGCGGGCCAGGACACGAGCTCGGCTGCTTGAAGAGATAAGGCCAGCTCTACTCCGCCCTCTCCCTCACTTCTACTACAGCTACCCACTCATCCGCCAAGCTGAGGGCTGGGAATGAGGGCTCCTCTCTCTGTGAACTTTGTGAGTTTCCCTGTGATTCTCAGGTTTTGTCTGGCTCACCATACACACACATTATTTCTGGAGCCCTGAAAGCATTCATTCATTCAGTAATTATGTCTTGAGCACTAGACCAGTGCCTAGACCAGCACTGGTCTAGGCAACAGGGACACTGAAGTGAACAAGACAGACAAAATTCCTCATCCTCTTGAAGCTGTCATTACCTACCTGGGCTCCAGAAGCTGTGTGTGAACCACTGTAATAGTTTTGACTGTGCTTGTGGGTGACACGCCTTGAGCGTGAGTTATCCATCCTTCAGCCCTACCTTAGATATGTGTTTGTGAGTGTGCATCTGCATGTATGAGTGAGTAAGACTGACTCACTGGTAGGATGTGGAAACAGATTTATGAGAACAGTGGGTACAAATTACCTCTTGAGGGGACTAAACACAATTCCAGAAAGCTCCACTTCATCATTCTACTCATTGTTTTGCTGATGTAGGCTTCGAACCCACTGCTCCAACCGGGCCTCTCCAGGTCTGAATGAAAAGTTCTTCAAAGGACTTACTTATCTGGTAACAAATGCAAGTTACCTCTTAAAGGGGCTGAACACAATGCTAAAATTCCCTCTGTTGTTCTTAGAAACCCCTTACTCTGACCTCTGTAAGTCCTGGCACAGTCTGACCCCTACCCACTTCTCCAGCCCTATCTCATATCAAGTTCTGCTCCTCTTTACACCCTAACTATGCTCCTTCAAAGGAGCTCTGGTAGCGTAGTGGTTACGAATCAGGCTGTGAACCTTAAGGTCAACAGTTAGAAACTACCAGCTGTTCCGCAGGAGAAAGATGAGGCTTTCTGCTTCCGTAAAGATTTGCAGCCTTGGAAACCCTATACAGGGTCACTATGAGTCGGGACGGACTCCACAGCACATAACCACCACCACCATGTTCCTTCAGGGCTGGGCTTTTGCATATGCTGGTCCCCTTGCTTGGAACAGTCTCTCCTCCCACCTAGTTAAATCCTATCTTCTTTTAGTTTCCAACTTAAGCACCACTTCAGAGAACCTTTTCTGATCTCCAAATAAATGATATCCCTCTGTTCTATACTCTCCCAGCCTCCATTAGCTCTATAGCACCTGCCGGTTGCAATTTTACAATTATGTGTGTGAAAAAATGTTTTCCTTTTTATTATGAATGGAGTAAAGGTTTACAGAGTAGGTCATCAGTTTTACACTCAACAATCACACACTTCATTTCATCTCAATGATTGCAATCCCCTCCGTGTAACATCATTACCCCACTTCCTCCCTGTGGTTCTTGTTTCCATACCTCCTCCTTTCCCCACCCTTCTGAATTTTGTAAATACTGCTCTTTGATCTCAAATGGTTGGCCATTTTATGGTGTGTGTACCTCTCTAATATTGTTTACCCCACCAAATATACCTGTCTATTGATGGGCTGAAAATTGAGTCACATTCAGTTCCAGACCTGAAGGGTGTAGGTCTGATCTTTTTTTTTTTTTTTTATGATTTTGAGTTTTGTTCCACTTTTTCTCCTACTCTATCCAGGACCTTCTAATGTGATCCCTTCCAGAACAGTCATAGCGGAAGTTGATCACCATCTAGTTATATAGTCTCAAAATCATGGAGACTGCTGATGTTCATGTAGTCCATTAGTCCATTGGACAAATTGTTCCCAAATGTCTTCAATTTTTACCACTCTTCTTTCTTCACAGTTGCACCTTAGATGGCCACTTATGAGCTTTTAAGATCCCAGCTGGATTTCTTACCAAAGTAGAATGTAGAGCATTGTCTTCCTGGACTATGTTATGCCAATGGACCATGGTGTCTCTAGAGACTATGGTCCTGAGCTCCCAGGCCCAGCAAACAATTCAACTTACCAGTCACTCCTTGGAAACCCTATACAGGGTTGCTATGAGTAGGAACTGACTCGACAACACTTAACAACAACAAAAACAAGTTTTCATAATTTTGCGCCCTGTATGTTCCACCACAAGGAGCTTGGTAGTGTAGTGGTTATGAATTGGGCTGCTAATCTCATGGTCAGTAGTTTGAAACTACCAGCTGTTCTGCGGGAGAAAGATGAGGCTTTCTGCTCCCATAAAGATTTACAGCCTAGGAAACCCCATACAGTGTCGCTATGAGTCGGAACCGACTCCACGGCACATAACAACAACAACGATGTTCCACCACATTCATGGATAAATTTGCAGCAAAGGTAAATACCCTTATTAAAAATCCTCTGTCAAACTCATATATCTGTGGGTATATTCCCACTCTCCCTTCCACACCCATTCAGCCAGTGTATCCATCCATGTAGCTTATCTACCTGTAAATGTGTGAATATTTTTTCATGTTTTTCTCCCCCTTCAGATAGGAAGTTCCAAGGGGGCAAATCCTTGTCTGGTTTGGCTTACCACTGACTCCTCTATGCATAGCACATCACTTGGGCTCACTAAATAATGACAGACTGAATAAATAGAAAGGGTGACACCTCATTGTGTACAGGAGGAAACAGCTTAGAAAAGCTAAATCATGTGTCCAAATTCCTATCGCTTCGAAGGGGCAGATCCATTTCCATTATGCTATATTCAGCCTCCATATGAAAACACAAACAGGACTAGCAAGGTCGTTTCACCTTTGTCTCCCACAAGAATTGAGGCTGGTGACGATGGAATGAATGTAAAACTAAAGTTCCCCTATGTAAACTATCATATAATTCACAATAAAACATTAAAAAAAAAAAAAAAGAAAGAAAGAATTGAGGCTGGTGTAGTGCCAGGGCAACTCAAAACCCCTTATCTCCCCTCATCACCACACTTCTGGCCCTGGGGTGAATCTGGTATTTGTCCTGTGTGAGATAAAAGCAGGGAGGTGGAATGTAATAATCTCTGGCTGAATCAAAGGAACCTTGATACCCTCTTGTCTGGGCCCTGGAGTTTCTCCTTTGAGAAATGGAATCCTCTCAGACTTGAAGGTAGCAGGTTGAAGACTGATAGGGCTCACCTGGGTCTTTCGCAGGTTTTCATCCACTAGAGCCTCCCACAGCCCCAAATGCCCATCACACTCTAGCTGCTGTAAGGAGATCACCAGAGGCCTGGGGAAGTGACATGGAGCAGTTGACATATCATGGAGACATGACATGGAGAGAGAAATGGCACCAAGTCACCCCCAACCCAATCTTCATCCCAGCCTTTAACTCCCCCAGGTCTGCTCACCTGGGGCTGAACACACGACTGCAGTTAATCACCTGCATGGCCAGACACTCGCCACTCAGTGGAGCCCCATAGTGTGGCCAACGGAACACCTGGGAACAGGGGGAACTTTAACACACCCAATGATAAGCTGACCCTGACCCCCAAAGCCAGAGCCTACTCCCAAAACAGGGGCTAAACTTGAAGCTAACTCTAAGACTGATTACCCAAACCTGGAACTGATTTCCCCAAACTACGACCAATCTGGGGCTAAAGTATCAACCCAAAACAAGTCCACTCAATCTTGGAACTGATTGTTAAGTCTGAGACTGACCTCATTTCCTGAAATGAAACCACCCAAAAACCAGGTATGAGTCTCCCAACCCCAAAATGGACTTGATCTAGGGTTCAAGTCCAGCTCTCCCCTACCCAGGAACCAACTCTACTGACCTCACCAACATCTGCTTCTTGACCACAATGGATTTTCCTTGTTTTCTGAGTGAAACCTGTTTAGAACTGGAACTAGTCATTAATCAGTCTCTTAAACAGATCGTTCCCCACTGGTATCCTTGGTCCAGGGTTCAATCTTCCTGGACTCACTCTCCAAGAATGGTCAAGGAGAAGATGGGGAGGGAAGGAAGCGAAAGGATAGAGATATTGGGCTGGAGGTGAAAGGAGAAAGACTTTAGAGATGACCAGGAACTAGAATGGAGAACCAGAGCCCCTTAGTTCCAAAACTCTACAGAATACCATTTCAGGCCTCACCCCGAAAGCAGAGCCTCACTTGTTGGTCATGGGTGCCTGGCAGCCCTGTCAATCACCACACACACACAGGAAGAGCCACGGTGCCAGTGCCACTGGATCTCCTTCTACCTGCCTGCCCTCCTGACCACCTACCCACCTGCCTGAATCACCTCTGACTCACTGGACTAACTCAGTAGGTTCAGCAATCCCTACCCTTTAGTGAAACACATAGTCAGCAGGCCTTGAGGTCAGTGGTGAACAAAAAAATATAAGGACTAAGAGATGGTGGTAAGGTCCCTGAGTTCTCTCTACCTGCACTAGCTGCAATCTAGCAGGACTGTGTTAGCCTCCATTCTTCATTCTAGTGGGGTGGGAGCTAAGATGGTGTGGGGATGGAGGGAAGGACTGGACCCCAGTCTGGTCCCTGTTAGCCTATGAGGCCCCAAGGACATGAATCTTATGGTGCTCCTTGTTTATCTCTCTAGGCACCTTGAGCTTCTTTAGGCTCAAGGTCTGGCACACTGGATAGATTAACCCCCAATGTTACTGCCTAGGCATTCAACATATATATTGATTGAAATTGACTAATTAAATGTGTATCTCCAACTTGCACAGAGTGGGTGTTCAATAGACTTCTTGAGGCCCCGGATCCCTAACTTGAGGTCCTGGAAACTTAGTGGTACCATAGATAGGCTATAAGGAGTTTGTGAACTCTTAAAATTGTCTGCAAAATATTGAGTATGTGTTCATTTTTCAGGATATAGGGGTCCTAACTTAAATGAATAATCCTTAAGCCTTTAAACAGATGTGCAATACTTTTGCTGGATGAAGGAATGAATGTATCTCCTTGTCTGAACTCTTAGTGACAGTAACTATGTGTTGAATACATTTTACAGCCATTCACTTAATCATTCTTTTGTTATCTGATGATAACTCCTTTGTGCAGGTTTGGTGTGGTGCTGCAGGATAACCAATTCATGCTAACCCTAACCATAAGGTTAGCGGTTCAAACCCACCAGCTGCTCCTTAAAAACCCTATACAGGGTCATTATGAGTTGAAATAGACTCTACAGCACTTAACAACAACAGCAATCTATGTGCAGGTCTTTTGCTATGCCACCTGAGGGTTAGGAGTGTGGCTACAGAGGTGAGTCAGATGTGTTCTCTGACATTCATTAACTCCAATACCTAACAAAGTCTAGAAAGACTGCAGTCACCATCCAAGTGGCTAGGGCTGGGGAGTTCAGGGGACACAAGTCAGAGGGGTTGTTTACAATAGTCTTTGACATGTAGCAAATACTATGAGTGTATACTTACGAAGAGATTGGCAAGTCCCAGTTGCCGTGTAGTCCACCTCAAATCATGGGAACTCAGTTTGTGTCAGAGAATAAATAGTTCCATAGGATTTTTCATGCCTGGTTGATAGGTAGGCCTTTCTTCCCAGGTTGATAGGTAGGTCTTAAACCTCCAACCTGTTAGCAGCCTAACATGTTAATCAGTTGCACCTGAGTAAGTTGTCACTTACTAATGGGGTAGTTTAAAATGAGCAGGCGGTGGGAAGGAATTCAGGGTGTGTTCTGAGGCACATGATTTGTTCATTTTGGCCCAACTACAAGGACTGTTATCAGGAAGCAGCAGCAGCAACAAAGATTAAACAGAATCAGAGGAGCTGGGTTTTGCTGTGTAGCCTTAATCCAGACATGGTCCCTTCCTGTGCTTCTCCATCTTGTTACCGGAGTTGGAAATCCCTGTTCTTTTTCCAAGTTATTGGGGACTCAAACTAGTTTTGACGGCTATTAAAAAAAAATACTTTGAAGATTTTTATTGTTGTTGTTAACAACTGTCGAGTTGAGTTCAACCCACAGGGACCCAGTATAGGGTTTCTAAGGAGCACCTGGTGAGCTTGAACCACCGACCTCACGGTTCAAACCAACTTTGCAGTTCAGCGCATTAACCCACAGCCACCACACCAGGTAAGACTGAGGTGTGGTATTTCCAGTCACTTCAGATTCATGCAAAAGCTGAACAATAAATGGAGAAAATGAAAAAGGAAGACCAATGAAGCCTTTGAATTACAGTGTTGACAAAGAATATTAAGTATACCATGTTCTGCCAGAAGAACAAACAAAATCAGTCTTGAAAAGTAGAGCCAGAATGCTTATTAAAAGTGAGGATGTCAAGATTTCATCTCATATTCTTTGCACCTGTTACCAGGAGGGACGGGTCCCTAGAGATGAAGTACTTGGTAGAGGTTCAATGAAAAAGAGGAAGACCCTCAACCCATGGGTTGACACAGTGGCTCCAACAATGAACTCAAACATAACAACAATTGTGGGGCAGGGTTGAGCAGGGTCTATTCTAGTGTACATGGTGTGCTTAATCCAAATCGATTAGACGGCAAAAACATCAGACAAGATGAATGGGTAGCAAGTTCCAGATTAGATCTCCAGACTTTCAGATGCTGAGACGGTTTCACCATCCCACTTGACATATGGGGTGACTGGGGTCCAAAGAAGTTCACTGTCAAATAGGAAATGGCAAGGCAGAATGGAGAACCGGAATTCTTCGTTGGCAATGTCCCGGCTTCCCCTTCCACCAAGGAGGAAAAAAAGAAGGGAAAGGAGGGGAGATAGAAATGGTTTTTTGCTGGTGCCATGTTAGATAGGAGTCCTGGTTTGACACTGGAATATTCCACTGTACCACAGATCAGTTTGAACCTCAAGGTCGGTGGTTCAAATTCACCAGCTGCTCCTTGGAAACCCTATACAGGGTCGCTGTGAGTCAGAACCCACTGGATGGCACTTAACAACATGTTAGATAGGGTTTCAAGGAAGTGCTTTAAAACCTCAGAATGAATAAGAGGGGCCACCATGAGTTTGAATCGCAAGTTCGGTGGTTGAAACTCACCAGCCACTACTCAGAAACACTATACAGGGTCATATGAGTCGGAACCGACTCGCTGGCACTTCACAACAATAACCATGACCCCCCTGTAACGCCAGGGCCACCTCTGTGACGCTCTGTCAGACGTTAAGCGGTGACCGTTGGCTCTTCTGTGACGTTAGCAGTGGAGCTTAGATACAAGGAGAGACGGCTGGGTCCTGCCACGGGGCCTGCTGGTTGCACGCAGGGTGCGACGGATCCAGGCGTAGCACACTGGCTGAGGGCGTTAACGGCTGCTGCGGCGACTTTGGGGTCCGTGAGGGGGAGGCCCCAAGTCAGGAAAGGCCCCATAGGCCCCGTCCGGGCTCGACCGCTACCCCACAGAAGTATACACCCAACTTGTACAACAAGGACTACAGCTCAGTGAGCGCCACCTCGGGGGTCGAACCTGGGTAAACCGTGGGCGGGGGAGTGGCGTAAGGGCGGGGACTGGCCTGGAACGGGGATAAAATTTTGTCAGGACCCCTCCTGAGGGGCGGAGCCTCTAGGGTGTGGGGAGGGAAGCACCTGAGAAAATCCCTTAAGGGGCGGGGCCTCGTGTAATAGACGGTCTTGGGCATCACTGAGGAGGCGCGGCCTCGGTGGTAACACGAGTGCTATGGGGTGGAACCAAGACCTGGGGCTGGGGTGGTCCCTTCATTCGGGGTGAGTCCAACGTCTTGATTGAACATCCCGAAGGGGCGGGGCCTCCATGTACCAACCGACCTAGGATACAGGTACTGCGGGTCCAAAGCCTGTGCGAGGTTTTCCTTCTGGGTTGAACCTGCAACGGGGTCTCGGAGAGAGTGGACCTGCAATGCGCAAGGCCCCAATGGAGCCCTTGGGCTCTCGCAGAACCAGCTGGGTCTCCCGTAGTTCCGGAGGAGCAACTCGACCTTCTTCCGACAGTGGATCTGAGCCAGGAGATGCCTACTCAGCGGGTGTCCAAGAGCTTCCTGAGTATGACCAGGCCTAACCTGCCCTATCCCCTCCGCTGAGCCTCAGATGTCTCTCTCTCAACCCATGATCATCTCTGAGCGCCCGCCCCCCCTCCCAGAGCCAGGTCCATTCTCCCAGTCCTCACCCAATTCTAGGAGGCCACGCCCTTTCTTCCTTTGCCCCAGGCGCTTCGGAGGTTCCCCCCTACCCCCACCCCACCCCACCCTTAACCCTTTCACAACCTTCCCCATCCATCCCACTCTCAGCTCCCTCTCCTCTCCTCTTCGCAGGCCAGCTCTTCCAGGTCCTGAACATGTCATTATCCCTGGTAGGACACGTGCTGGTCAGTGTGTACAGGTCAGAGGGATGGAAGGGGGAGCCCCAGGGACTTGCTCTTTGTTGGCGGGAGGGGAGCAGGGCCGGGGCGGCTGAGGCTGGAGTCCACCCAGAGCTCGTGTTCGCGGAGCTGGATCTCAGGTTGATGGGTGGGGGGGTTGCCAGAGGTGATGGGGTCTGGGACCTCAGCCTCCCTACGGTCCCCTCAGGGAGGTGTGTTCCATCCGTTTCTTGCTCATGAATGTGTGGCTGCTGAGCCTCTTTCTGGCAGGTAAGGGGGTGCTGAATTCTCTGGGCCGGGATGCTCGGGAACCAGACAGAGCCCTGTTTACTCCCATGCCCCTTAATCCCCTGCAGCCCCAACTCAGACCCTCATAGTCCGCCCCTCCAGCCTCCTCTCTCTGTCCCTTCCCCTGAAATTCCCCTCTTTTTCCAGCGCTTTGGTGGGGACTCCTGTATCTGGTCCCTCCTTTGGAAAATGTAAGTGGGGAGACTATTCTGAGCGGTGGCGGGCGGGTCCTGAGCCCGGAGCTTTCTGGGAGGGAGGCCATATATGAGCCTCAGGTTCCTGAAGGATTGTATCTAAAGGTGCTGGGGGGCGGTTGGAGGGCTCTGAGGCTGTGAATCTGGGAGGCCAGGGAAGAGTGTGAGGATGAAAGTCCTCAAAAATAGGGCGTTGAGTCTGGCTACTATGAGGCTAGTGGAGGAGGATTTAGGAAGGGGGGAATTGAGTGACTGTATTTTGCCTTCTCTCCCCCTCCCCGGCTCTACTAGGAACCTAAGGAGATGCTGACTATGAGGTGAAACAGAGCACCTGGGGGTGGGCATTGTGGGCTCAGAGGTGTTTCTCTTGGGTGTGGGGAGCTCTAGGGGAGGCCTCCAGAAGGAGAAGGGAGTATTTGAGCCTTTACTTCCTACAGGGAATACCACGAGCTCGTGCGCTGCCAGGGCCAGCAGCTGCAGCAGCTCCAGGCTGAACTGGATGAACTTCACAAAGAAGTGTCCAGCATTCGAGCTGCCAACAAGGAGGTGAGCACCAAGCTCCAGCCCATCGCAGAAACTCCCTAAATCCTGGGTCCTGGAACTAGATTCCAGAGACACCAAGTCCGTTCCAGAGAACCCTGCCACTCTAGCCCCACCCTCGCTCTTTTTAGACAGTGGCCAAGCTTGTATTCCAGAGGCTGAGTGAGGACTTTGTGCGGAAACCCGACTATGCGCTGAGCTCGGTGGGTAAGTCCTTGACATTGTTAGAGACAGCGACAAACAGAGCCTCAGACAGCCCGTCCCTAGTTCAGAAGTCTCAGGAGCCTAATCTCCACCTCCACACCGCTGTAGGAGCCTCCATCGACCTAGAGAAGACATCCCATGACTATGAGGATACAGACACTGCGTACTTCTGGAATCGCTTCAGCTTCTGGAATTACGCGCGGCCACCTACGGTTATACTGGAGGTGGGCTTCCAGTCGGGTCCCTAGGATGGGACCTCCGACCTCCAGCAGGATGCTAGGGAAAAGAACCTGGGCCCGGGCTGTGGGTGGGGCCTAACTTAACGGATGAGACTGCGCATTGAGCTTAAGAAGATTCCTGGAAGTTCTGGGAGGGGTCTGGCTGGCAAGGGAGCCAGCAGATAGTGTGTGGAGCATTGGGCAGGACAAGTCTGAGTAGAATGATACCCAGTCTGGGGAAGGCCGCTGTGGCTCAGAGGACGGGTTCTGAAGGTGTATCTACCCCCTACAGCCAGACGTGTTCCCTGGAAATTGCTGGGCTTTTGAGGGCGACCAGGGTCAGGTGGTGATCCGCCTGCCAGGAAGTGTGCAGTTGAGCGACATCACCCTGCAGCATCCGCCACCCAGCGTGGCGCACAGTGGGGGAGCCAATAGTGCTCCCCGCGACTTCGCAGTCTATGTGAGTGGTCATGCGAACTAGTTAGTATCTGAGCCTTTGCTTTGTTTCCTCATCGAGAAAATGGAGGTACTACCACTTATCCTGGTGTGCACTGTAAGAGAAACAGACTGAAAGGTTGGCAGTTCAAATCCAGCAGGCGCTCCTCGGAATCCTCCCTACTCATCAGAACCGACTCCACTGCATTTACCACACCACCACCACCACTTGTCACTTAGGACTGCTGTAGGTTATAATCAGGATAAGTGCTGTCCAGTCAGTTCTGACTCACAGCGACTCTATAATACAGATTTCCCAGGAGCAGTTAACCTTCTAATTCAAACCAACCAAACGGGGCCAGTGCACCACACCAGGATTCTATAGAAATATACATAACTGCATCCAAATATTGGGAACTCAGTGGACCCATAGATAAGGAATGGACTTGCAAACCACAAGGAGCCCCCCAGCTGCTGCAGAGGAGCTCTTATAGATTTACAAGTCATAGAAACCCTACACAGGGTCACAGCACTTAACATCCAAATATTAATTCGGACTTACTGACTGCTTACCCTGTATCCCAGCACTTCACATGGAGTGTTGTTATACACACACAAGTTCTACTTTCATTTCCCCTTTTATACTTTTTCAACTTTTGTCTGTAAATAGTTAAAACCACACTAAATACTCAGCATATTTGGACCAATAAACAAAGCCACTTATTTTAAACAGTTTTTCAACTTTTCTATAGTAGTGTTAAATCCACAAAAAAATTTAGTGTTGGAGGTCATATAATATTTGGCCAGATTAAAATTCAGACCCTGTTTCTTCCTTATACTATTCCTAACACCAAAAACTCCATGAGGACAGGAATACACGTCAATAGTAGGTTTTCAGTAAAGTCGCTTTTCCCTCCTTTACCTGTGCCTTACTGTTCCTCCATTCACTCTTCATCTAACAGGGTCTTCAGGCTGATGACAAGACTGAAGTTTTCTTGGGGAAATTCACCTTTGACGTGGAGAAATCTGGAATTCAGACTTTCCACCTGCAGGTGTGTAGGTCTCAGGAGGTGAATGTGCTGAAGGAGGGGCACTGTAAAGGGAGATCAGGGAGAGGACAGCTCTTGGAAGGACAGGCCCTGGCATGATCCATTTGTCTCCCCAGAATGACCCCCCAGCTGCCTTTCCCAAGGTGAAGATCCAGATTTTAAGCAACTGGGGCCACCCACGCTTCACATGCTTGTATCGAGTCCGGGCTCATGGCGAGCAAATCTCAGAGAGGGCAGGGGACAGTACCACAAAAGTCACTGGGGGGCTCCATTAAACCCATTGATGGTTGGAGTAAAGTGGAGGTCTGTGTTGAATGACGCTGGATCAGTGCTGGGGTGGGTGGTGCTCTGTTGAAAGCTCTGGCTGCCTTTAGTATTTAAATAAGGTGGGGTTCTGCCTCCCCACATCCCCCTCATTCCTTGGACAAATCCAGGTTAATATAATAGCAGCAGCTCACATTTCTAGAGTGTTTACCATGCATTATAAGGAGCTGGGGTAGCATAGTGGTTACAAATCAGGCTGCTAATCTTACGGTCAGCAGTTCAAAACTACCAGCTGTTCTGAGGGAGAAAGATGAGAGGCTTTCTGCTCCTGTAAAGATTTACAGCCTTGGAAACACTGTACGGGGTCGCTATGAGTCATGGCACATAACAACAACAACAAAAATAGACAGTGTGCTGGGCATTATACACATCATTTCTAACTTCTTAGAACCACAAAGGGGCAAACGACTCAGGAGACAAGCAGAGCAGAGCCAGAGCAGGAACCCAGGCCTACTGCCTCCAGAGGCCACAGCCTCTTTAACTCTAAGGGCTACCAGTCAGCCTGGAGTCAAGTTTGTATTCTTCAGCCCCCCACCCGCAAATTCTTGGAAAGTCCCCCAGCCCCTTGCTAGGTGTATAAGGAAATGGAGGGGGAAATTTTCATGTAAACAATGAAAATTGAAGAGACTTGAGAACCTCTAAAAATCTTGAGTCACAGAGCTGATAGAGGCCTGGTAGCCCCATGTGGTCTCTGCCAGGCACAGTGGGTGGTGTGAGGCTTGAATCTTTGTCCTCAAGAAGCCTGACAAGGGAGAGAAGATGCTCCAGAAAACAAATTCATTTACAGAGCCGATAAAGCTTTACTCTAAGGGTTTGGAAAGTAGAATTGGAGGAGGAATGGATGAAAGAGATAGGCATCAAAAAATTGAGGTCCACCTGGGCAGAGTATGAATGAATGACCAGCATGAGGAAAAGAATGCTCAACAACTTGACCAGCATGAGGAAAAGAATGCTCAACAACTTGGCTTGTTAGGATGCATAAGTATGTTCATGCTTTGGAAGAAAGAATAAAAGATAATTATACATTTAGGAAGTGAAATTGAGAGTGTCTAAAAGGAGCTCTGGTAGCGTAGTGGTTACGAATCGGGCTGTGAACTGCAAGGTCAGCAGCTCGAAACTACTAGCTGCTCTGCGGGAGAAAGAGGAGGCTTTCTGCTCTCGTAAAGATTTATAGCCTTGGAAAACCTGTTCAGGGTCGGAATCAACTCGACAGCACACAACAACAACAACATGTATAAGGAGTCCTGGTATGGCTGTGTAGGATAAGCAATGGATAGCTAACCACAAATTCGGCAGTTCAAATCCATCAACTGTTCCTTGGAAAGCCTATATGGTTACTGAGTTAGAAGCGACTCTATGGTACTTAACAACATGACAAAACATGTATAAGAGCTTCTGGTGTGTCACTGTAGGATAAACACTGGACTGACAACTGCAAGGGTTGCTGGTTCAAACCTATCAGCTGCTGCTCAGAAAAACCCTAGACAGGGTCGCTATGAGCTGGAACCAACTTGACTGCACTTACTTAACAACACATGTAAAGGAGCTCTCAGAGTGTTGAGGGCTGGGTGTTGGACTGCTAACCACAAGGCCAGCAGGTCAAACCCACCATCCCCTCCTGGAGAGAAAGATGATGATATCTGTTCAGGTCTCTAAAAGTCAGAGCTGACTTGGTAGCACCTACCAACGACAGGGTTGCTGAGTCAGAATTGCCTCAGTGGGTTGGGTTAGATTTGATTAAAACTTGTATATATGGGAGTAGATCATTTAACTGTGTTTGTATTTTTGAAGTATTAATTTTATACTTTGAAGATAGCAGTTTCACAATAGAAACTAAAAGCCTAAAAGCATTTTATATCCGAGAATGTATCCAAATGATACAGTGTTGTTAAGTGTAAAGTCAGTTTGGATCCTGTATAGCATTTTCAAGGAGTGGCCTAGTGGACTTAACAGCCAACCTTGCAGTTAGCAGACCAATGCTTAACCTACAGTGCCACAGCAGGACTCCTAGTGAAGTAGTTGTTGTTGTTGTTAGGTGTCATGGAGTCGGGACCGACCCATAGCGACCTTATGCACAGCAGAACGAAACACTGCCCGATCCTGGGCCAACCTCACTACTGTTGCCACGCTTGAGTTCGTCGATGCTGCCACTTGGGTGTCTTCCTTTTTTTCTCTGACCCTCCACCTTACCAAACATGATATCCTTCTGCAGTGACTGGTCCCTCCTGACAGTATGTCTGAAGTATGAGAGACGATATAAAATCAAATAGATATATTCAAAAGATAATACTTATATTCAGTACACTGTTGTTTACAGAAAAATAATAGGGAACTTAGTATCCAAATAGATAAACCATGATACAAAATCATAGAATAAGAGAATGTTTAATGTCATGGAATTTATGATTTATGGTTTATATTTTTTAAAGCAAGCTAAATTGGCATACATAAAAAAATTCAAAGTTCCTAATTAAGAGATCTGTATACCAAAAGACACTATCATTGAAAAGACAGTCTGGAGGAAATATTGTCAACATGTATTAAGACTAAGAAAGGAAAAAGTTAGGATTAGCTATTATTCAGAAGAAATATAACTTACAAATATATTAAGTGAAATAGTACCTGGCCTTCACAATTAAATTCAAACAAACAAAAATCCTTCCACCCCTTTAGCCTGTCAGATTAATCAAAGGTATAAATTGACCATAACTTTTGTTATGGAGGATAATTTGATAACATCTATTAAAAATTTAAATATTTATACTTTTGATACAGCATTTCTACTTCTGGGAACAAATCCTTTAGAAATACTTCTATAAGTATACAAAGATAAATGTGCTACAAAGCTCCTAACAGTATCACTTATGATAGAAAAAAACTGTAAGCAACCCATTTCTTCATCAATAAGGGATAGGCTAAATAAGCTACAGCTACTCATACAGTTCTGCTGGGTAAAGGCACTCAAAATATATTAAGCTAAACAGTACATATAATATCCTATTTTAGAAAAAGAAAATTTTTTTTAAGAGTGCTATCCCTGAGGAGCTCTGGTAGCATAGTGGTTATGAGTCAGGCTGTTAACCTCAAGGTCAGCAGTTGAAACTACCAGCGGTTCCACAGGAATAAGATGAGGC